AGCTCGCTATCCAGCTAGTCTTCGGGTTCGGTTAAAATTACATATACCACAACTGATGGGCTAATGTCAAGAGTTTATACCGGGTGCGGCTGTTAAACGTCCAGGGCATTATAAGTACCGAGTATGCAGTGTACGTGTGCTAGTGATGTGTTGTCTTGCGCGTTTTTCAGACATTTAAAACCTGATTTAAAATCAGGTGCAAAATTTCTCTCAGCTATTCGCCTATTTAGTCTTATACGGTTTGTATCACAACATATTACGACTTAGTTATAAACCCCCAGAAAAAAACATTTCTTATAATAAGACTGACTAGCTTTTGCAATATTGTTTTGCTTACTTATTACGAAGAAGCAAACGGTTCAAAGGAGACTATTTTTCTCTCTGAGTTTCGCTCAAAGAACATCTCAATGGTCCTCAGACGAAATCAGGGTATTCCTACACAAATTCATCAGATTAGCTTCCTCGCCGATGACAAAAACATTCTAGAAAGTGGTCTAATCGACAATTCCTTCTTAATCAAATGAAATCTGTATAAATGATAATTGTTTTTCAATGAAACACGTTCATTTTCGTGGGGTATGCGAATTCAGAACAACTAGACAGAAGAGTTTGGCGTGATTGCGCAATTGAAACGTTCTGAGATGCCTGAAATCATACTATCATAATTATGCTTTTAATAAAAAGTAGGGCAGTACGTATTTCCATATTAATATGAAAGAGGAAAATACATCAGAAACTATTTTTTACTTCTATTAAAAGTTTTTGTAATAAACTATTTTCCTTGAACCTTTGAAAACGTTTGTTCATATTCTCTTTATTAATTCGTTGTTTTTTTTCTTGTTTGTTTTTTAATTTTTTTAATGCAAGAAAGGCTTTTTTCTATGCCTTTCTCAGAGAGATTGAGACTTATTCATTTTGTTTCTGACATTTTTCCTTCTTTTATTCTTTCCCCCTTTTAATTAATATCATGAATTATCAGAATGTGACAAAGTAAATATCGCTGTCATGCGCACACAAATGTTCATGCTCGCCCCAACCCCTCTCATTCAGCACCGAAAATCAATTGTTGGATACGTGATAAACATGCTATGGATTTGAGGGTCAAAGGTATGGAGGCATGGTATAGTATGGGAACGAAAATATATCTCGAATGTCCATTATTTATTGTAAAATGTTGTTTAATCTGGGGACGAGGAAAAATTTGTACAATGCTTGGGTACAAGAAGGCAATTTTTATTTTTATTTTTTTGTAAATAAGCACGTGTGTTTTATGCAAACAGTAGCGCTACTAATATTTCGAAAGCAGCTTTAAAAAGATCAGCTTTTTTGGAAGCGGGGTTAAGCCATTTAAGTTTTTTTCAGAGAAGATTACGTGCATTTAGCCTAAAGCATAAAGAAAGCCACTTGTAAAGGGCTGCATACTAAAGGAACATTATTGTTATTGAAGCGTCACTCGCTGCTCGTAGACATGCCAAATTTTTAAAGCTTTTTCTACCTTTGCTTCACTTACCAGACGAGCTATTTGATTACCTGTAACGTTTACAAATGAAACGCTGCGGTAACGACTGTATTTGAATGACCAAGCTAATATTTTTAAATATGCTGCGGTTTTTTTCATTTTAATTTGTCCGAGCTCAAACTGTCACACAGTTTATTTAGTATATTTAACAAATAATATGACGTAGTCTTTTAACAAAAGCACTCTCTAATCTTTGTTGAATCAAAACACGTTATTCTTAGCTGGTGCTATTCTTTAAACACGAAGCTTTCAAATGGCAATGGAACGTTGAACTGATTCGTGCCGCCTTCAATTAGATCAAGGCAGTAAAAGGCTTCGCTTGAAGTTTTTGTCGTCTTTGTTCAAATCGTAACTTAGAAAATATATCATAGACGCTATATCGGTCGAATTTTTTTTCAAACGATTTTAATGGAACATAATTATCGAAGGAAATTTAATTTATCTTCGCACAATTGACAGGTTTAGCAAAAATTCGATTTGATTTTACGACATCAAACTACGGGGTCCTTTTGTCGTAACGCTGAACACATAACTTGAAGTGCCTTAGAACTGAAAAGTACGAACGAAACGATTTACGTAAATTTTACTGGGATACGTAAGAAATTGTTTTCCTTTTTTAAGGCTTGAAATACTTGCTATTAGCAACATTAAATATTGTCCAAGGCAATCTTTGAGAGAAGAATCACATAATTCATCTTTCCATTTTTTGTCTTTGAGCTTTGTTCATAAGGCTGGCTGCTTTGTTATAATTTTGTTTCTTTTATTTTTCTCTCTCTCTCTTTCCTTTTTTCCCAGCTTTTAGTTTAATCTATGAATTTGGTTCCGTTGTTATTTGTTTGTTTTGTTTTGAGTTCTGCTTTGTTTTTGTTTCTTTTTCTTATTATTTTATTGCTTACAATCCTCTCTTCCTGAGACTGACAAAGTTTGAATGCAAAACGGTGCCACATGAACATCGTAGAACTTTTGATATTAATGAAATGTCAGTTCTGATTTAATTTAATTTAATTTAATTTAGTCCATTTTCACTGCATTAAGTTTTGCAGTGGGGAAGGACTAGAAAGGAACACAGAAACCATTTGTGCTAGTCCACCCTCCCACCCATCCCACCCCAGGGAAGGACATCCATCACACAGTAATCTCGTGTGTGGGAAATTAACGTCTCCTACCCCAACCCTGCAGGAGACGGGACCTCCATTTATTCGTCCCTATCCGAGAAGACTAGAATATCTAACCATTTCTTGATGTTATAGAAAGGTAGCAAATTCTTCTCAATTATTTTAAGACC